CTAAAAACATGCTCAGAAATAAAACTTATACAAAACTATTTCAAAATTAGCCTAGCTATTTTCGGGAAAAATGGTAACGACACACACAAACACCTCCTACCCCAAACGCATATATAGGTACCGTGTCTGTGGCCGTCGCGGTTAAAAATCAAGAGTTATTTTATAAAACTTCTGAAATTTTGATCCAATACTGAAAATTTTATTCTAATACTAACCTACAATATCTCCCAGTACTTTAGACTATTTATATTCAAATAAAAAAGAGATAGAGTAAGAAATCAAAAAATATCCAAACTAGCTTGCTTCCCAATACTAACTTTCATCTCCATTTTCACCCCTTTAAGGGATGATTTCCGGAATAAAAAGTACCTATTATATGTCCTTCCCAAGGTCTTAAACTATCTTCTTACCAAATTTCATCTAAATCGGTTCGATATATCCAGAGATTACCCCCTACAACGTTACAAGCTCACAAACTTTACCTCTTTATTTAATATTAGTATAGTTTAATTTCTAAAGCTTGAATAAATCAAGAACAAGTCAATTATAACTAAAAAGGTTTTTGAATATTTCATAATATATACCAAAGTACTAATTACAGGACACCATTTAAACTTTGCTCCATTCAAGCAAAATATCACCTGTCTCTTTCCGGAAGCTCAAAGATGGCGGTCGGATATGGGAGGGGCGTTTGATTTATAGTGGGGATAGTGCGCGTGTGTTAAATACTTTTATTTTATTTTCGAATTACAATTGATTAACTTTGAATATTCGTAGATTGTAAGGTTTTCATGGCGTTTATGGTTTTTGTGTAAAAATGAATGAGCTTTTTCTTTTATAATATGTATTTCACAAGAACGAATTTCATAATTGAAATTCTTAACATAGAGATAGATGCTATAATAAAATTTAAAACAATGAACTATTTATAATAGATTTTGTATAATGTTTTTAATATGGTTTAAAAAGCTCAGTATATTTTAAATAAAACTATCTCTTCGGATTTTGTCGCGGATTTATTTTGACAGTTTTTTTTTTAAAATAAATCCGCGAATAAATCCAAAGTGGCAATTTTATTTAAAATGTCAAATATTCGCGTAAATCTAAGAAATCTTAAATAAATTTATAAAAAAAATGTATTAAGCTCAGTAATTCTTATCATTATAATAAAAGCTTTCTTTGAAAAGTGTAGAGTAATTTATTAATAAATATTTGAATTTCTTTCTTATTTCAATCAAAATAAAAAATATAATATATTTTTTCTGCAAAATAAAATAAAAATAAAGTATTAAATTGATCAAAACAAACGTTTCAAGTTTGATTAGTGATGTACCTTTATAAAGTTTTTATTTAATACCGAAATTGTTTACTCATACGTAAAAATATCAAAGCAGGTTACATAATATGATCAATCGAAGTTCACTAAAGGCGGCAGTCTCGCACAGAAATAGAATGAAATAGGTACAATTTAGCCTAGAACCTCGAGGATGGGCACATATAATCCATTCAATAACGTTTTAATATAAATTAATTGAATGAATTGTTTTGCTAAGAATATTTATTTTTAAAAATATTTAAAGATTTTCGCCTATTAGTTAACTATAATTGTGAATATTGTACTTAACTTTTTAAATAAAAATAATATCTCAACTATTCTAGAAGAAAACTTGATATTTAATGTAAACACATTACACGCATGAACGAATAATTCGTCTATGATTGCACGCTTTGTTTTTTAAATTATATTAATTAGGTAATACAGAATTGGATATTTTTACTTATTTAATAGCTTACTTACTTTTAAAATAAAGACAAATCTATCCCACAGGAATCGTACATTTTAGCTATACTATTGTAAAATTTGATTAAAATCCATTCAGTTTTTGCGTGAAAGAGTAACAAACATCCATACATACAGACATCCATACATCCTCACAAACTTTTGCTTTTAATATATTGGTAGGATTATCATATATATCTACTGTATAAAGACATTAATTATATATTTACCTAATTATTAAATAACACATATATCTAGTTTAAAAATGCTTAATAAAACAAAAACCTAATAGGTAGTTGTAGATATACGTATAATATGTAAGTATACGATCAATCGAAGTTCACTGAAGGCGGTCTGGCGAGGCAATAAAATCAAATGGAAGCCTTCCACCCCGGGCGGGGTGGCTGTGCACTGTAACGGAAAACTCTGTATGTGACATTAGTGTTTTACGTGGGTTCTATAATGTTTTTCAACCGACTTCAAAAAGGAGGAGGTTCTCAATTCGACTGTATGTTTTTTTTTTTTTTTTTTTTTTTTATGTTTGTTACCTCAGAACTCCGTCATTTATTAACCGATTTGGACAATTTTTGTTTTGTTTGAAAGGGTAGACTTCCAGATTGGTCCCATTTAAATTTCAAAAAAAAATACCACCCCTAAGGGTGGAAAAATTGCAAATAATGAATTTAACCTACTTCTAATTGTCATATTGACTTGAAACTTTGCAAGTGTTTCTATTTTCTGATAGTACAGTGGTTCGGTATTGTTGACCCGATCTGATGGTAAGGCCAGAAGGTGGATAGGTGGAACTCTTCAACAACTAATAGTAGATACTTTGAGTTGTTTGACAAGCCTAACACTTTACAATTCTTACTTTGCTACTACTGTCTACACTAAAAAGGGAAAAATAAAAACTTTTTAACAAAAAAATAAAAACCGACTTCAAAGAAAAGCACTAAAAAGTAAAAAATAAGTGATTGGTAGTTTTCATTTACTATACATACCTAATCAAATATTTTCGAAGTCGGTGTGCTTTGCTTTGTATGGGCTGGCACCGATTTCGAAAATATTTGATTAGGTATGTATTTAATAGGTAGGCTTTAATTACTTAGCCAAAGCACACCGACTTCGAAAATATTTGATTAGGTATGTATAGTAAATGAAAACTACCAATCACTTATTTTTTACTTTTTAGTGCTTTTCTTTGAAGTCGGTTTTTATTTTTTTGTTAAAAAGTTTTTATTTTAATATAATATTATTACAGATAAAAGTACTGTTAGTTATAATAGTTATTTATTTCGTTTAAATATGTAGTAGATTGTAAAAAAGCTGGTTATTTAAGGTACCTAATATATCTTTATATTGACTTTAAATTATTATATCGGCGCTATCAATAATAATTAACCTATTTGTTAATGTAAGATTAATCCATTTCATTTCTGGCCGGTAAGCATATAACCACCAGTAGGTATCAAGGTGGCATGCAGATGGTATGCTGGTGGTATGCCATTTCAAGCACACACACTCACTTACTGACTTTACCTCACAAACTTTATAAATGCGATTACTCGTATAAAGTAGTGGATGATAGTTGTTTAAACTTGGATTAAATAAAACTAAATAGGAATTAAAAATTAATAACCAAATATAAACACTTTAAATAATCGTCTTTATGCTATACACCGTACCTACCCTATCTATATTTTATATAACCATTATTTATACTTATTTATGTTCAAAACATCAAAATATAAAAAAATGCAGTTATAGCAACAGACAAGAATTTCTTTAAAATATCTACATTATATATAGTACATTAGCGGCTCACCCTCGCTAGTCACTCTGGTTCGCCTCTAGAAAAACAAAAACAAATCTATCCCACGGGAACCGTACATTTTTCCACGATAAAAAGTAGTCTATGTGTTATTTTGATGTATGAGCTATATTATTGTAAAGTTTGATTAAAATCCATTCAGGTTTTGTGTGAAACAGTAACAAACATACATCCATACTCACAAACTTTCACATTTATTATATTAGTATAGATAATACATCAATAATTAATAAGTAACAGGTGCAAAAGTAAAAAGAATTGAAAAAAAATTATAAAGTATCTACATGATTATAATAGAAAAAAATATATAGTTGAATTCAGATTCAGAAAGAGAGAGAAAGAGAGAGAGAGAGAATTCAAAAATATATACAAAACCTCCTTCTCTTTTAAAAGTCGATTAAAAAAAATTGAAACTAAAATTGAACCCCAATTGTTATATACGGAGTTTTCCCTAGCGCCGAACATGAACTCTGCAGAACATTGGGGGTCGGGTGACAGAGTAGCTTTTGCGTTATTTTGCTACGTGACTCTACTGTCGATATCCACCATACAATACGAGTTACTGGTATTGTAAGGAATGGACAATGTTTTTTAGAGTATTTCAGTTTCGTTATTATTCTGAGGATATATTTTACTTCGTCTAGTTAAAATTTAAAAAATGTACATTGTCTATGGAATGTAGCGAGAAAATATCTTTAGGTAGGTACTTCCTATGTATATAGGACGTGAGAAGTTTTTAACTATTATTATGAAAAATACAAGTAGGTATACCTAATAGTATGAATAAACTAAAGATTTATAATTTACTGAGTTTAACTAAAAAACAATATTATCTTTCTGCAATCCTGTAATATTATGATTCACATGGCTTAACATAGAAAAGATTTTCATGCTTTCCAAAAACCTGATGCGTGTGTATAGTGTAGAAGGAAAATATTAATGAAATTCAATTATGTGTCCCTAAGGGTTGAAAGTTACCTTCCCTCTGTCTCTGGATCGAAACGATATACTTTACCCCTTAAATATAAGGGAATGAGCTTAATTATATAGAAGTATTATGTATAAGTATTATATATAAATACTAGTGACTTACCTTACTTCGCTTGTGTGTACCTATCCTAAAAATCGTTTTTTCCCGACTTTATTTACAAATGTTGATAAAATATAACCTATAAATTTCTTAGATTACCCCCTTTCGTCGAAATCCGCTTATTCCTTATTTTCACAATTCGCCTTTACACGGGCGAAAGCTGTATGAAAATCGATACAGTAATTTCTGAGACTAGACCAAAGACAACAAAGTCAACTTTAATTTATAATATGTAGTGATTAAAATTATTTATATTGTACACTTACGTAATGCAAATAAATTGTTATTCTTTCAAACAGCGGTACAAAACGAACGTCAGCCTCGAAATACTGCGACCATACGCCCCGAAGCTTTAAGAGATATGGATCAAGAGCGAGCTTTGAGGGAAGCAGCTGTCGCTGTTGGAGTGTTTGGGTAAGGTGGATTTGTTATATTAAAATAAAAATATTAAGTTTTCATAGGTATTTAATATCCTAATTTTGAAGGTTTTTATGTGTTTTTTAAAGTAGTTTATTTCACTTAAATAATACTAAGAAATATTTCTTACTAAGCTCTAATATTATGTAAAAATACAGCTATTTACTTTCGCTTTGCTTTTGTGTCTCTAGGTGCCTTACAGTAGCTTAGGTGCTACTCCAGCTAGTAGTCTATTTGTGAACTAAGTTTTATCAAAATCCCTCCAGCCCTTTCAGAGTAAATGAGTAACAAATATACACACTGAACTTTGACATTTATAATGTACTAGCGTATTCTACATTTATAATGTAGAAAAACACTAATAGAGATCTATTAGTACCCACGGGAACTGTTTATTTCTCCAAGATGAAAAGTAACCTGTTATTTGACCGGCAATATATGGTATCAGAATGTTAAATTTTTCTAAATTAGGTGCATAAGTTGTTGTGTACTAAGCTGTATAAGTTATTATAGTTTTTTAACTATCCCACGGGAACTATTTAATTTTCCGGGATAAAAAGTATCTAAGATGTTTCCCGGGGATATAAGATACCACCATGCAAAATTTCATTTAAATCGGTCCAATAGATTCGGAGATTAGCCCGTACAAAGAGAAAAACAGATAAACAGCTCGCTCGGGTTCGTCCATACATACGAATATGTTGTATTATCTCTTTAACCATTTGTCCAAATTATATGCAGTAAAAGGGAAAAGTCTTTTATTTTAAACATTTTAGACGATAAATTTACTTATTTTGATAAGAATTCATAATTGTTGATAATATGACCAATAAACATGACCTACCGATTTAAATTATTTTTTTAATATAATAAACTACTTTTTGTGACTTAAATATAAAAGTTAGATGCTGTTGCTGACTTTTTTGTAGGCATTATTAAACTCTACAACTTTTCTCTCGACCGTTTTTTCTCCGACTTACTTTGCAAATCCGACTACCACGAAAAAGCCTTTTCATTTTTCGGGTTAATATATAGCCTATGACACTCAGAAAGAACGTGGCTTTCTATTGGTAAAAGAATTTTGAAAATCGGTTCAGTAGATCCAGAGATTACCCCCTACAACGTCACAAACTCACAAACTCACAAGATCACAAACTTTACCTCTTTATAATATTAGTATAGACTATTCCAAGTAGACGGATTATTATGAAATTAAAAATACTGACAAGAAATAAAGCAAATTGAGCAATCTCTTATGAAAAACATAACTACAAGTGTTGAAACGTTTGCATAAAAAGCTGCGCTTTCAAAAGGATTCTTTGACTCTTCTCTCGGAAACGCAGCACATTTGCCAGCTGGCGCGGAAATCGTTTCTTTGTGCCATCTTCTATAGGAAAATCACATTATTATGATATTTATGCACTTGTAGATAGCGAATATTTATTTTTATCATATTTCAAAACTATATTAATGTCGATGCGGTTTTTCTTTATGACCAATTTCTAGAAAATTGGTATATAAGGTACATTTCACAATCGTTGAAGAATAGAAAATATTTATTTCTATCTAGTTTTCATAATTTAGTTTTTAAGATATATTAGCTCTCCGAAGCCATCAGATATACATATGTATAATGTACATACATACATACATATGTTCCTTACACCTATAAGGTATTGATAAAGCTACTTATACAAATTATTATCTACTAATATATATCACCTTTTGTTAAATTCAATAGTGTAATATATCAGAAATATTATGATAACCATTGGTCTGGACCTTTATAACAATAACACTTTCCACCAACAACAAAGCAAATATCTCATATCTCATATTTATAAATACAACTGTTCTTTTGTGAATTCAAAGTATTCTAGCTTCGGAAATAATTAAATTTTCTCCTAGCATGTTGGTCTTTAATATATTTAGTTACCAGAGATGCTGCAATGACCGTCGTAGATACTAATATAACGCGTTCGATTGGAAAACAAAGTACAATCGGTCTCCCACCTCTGTATACTTTCGCTCGCACTCGCTTTACGGGGAAAGAAACCGATGTGAGGAAAACCTCAAAATCTGAATGAACTTTTGTAGTTTTTAAAAGACACGCGAAGTCTGACAACCCGCACTTTGCATATATGATGAACTATGGTCTGATCCCTCTTGCATCCTCCAGCAGTGGAACGTAAAACAAGGACTGAATTAATACTTGTTAAAACTTTTTGATATTGTGTATAGCTTTATACTAACTTTACATTACGTTCTCTTTAAAGAATAAAAGAAAAGAAATTCACTTAAAAACGCCTATAACAATATATATTTATACCTTTATAATCAAATACGTATAATATGAAGAAAATTATCTAATAATAACCTAGGCCCTGACGTCAAATCAGTGAGACGTATGGATCAAGCTTCAACTTCATCAAAGGTTGGTTTGCATGACCGCACCACCCGTGTGATCTGAACTAGGGACACTGCTCGGTGTGATGTATGGTATATATTTTTACCTTTGAGCTAGCTCTATACTGACCCTTTCATGTTTATTTTATGGTTAAATAAATAATCACCATAGCAATGTAGTGTGTAATTGCTTACTGCAATGTCACAGATTCGATTATTATTGTTGTAAAAATTGTATTGGCTGTTAAAGCTTCTACACATTGCTGATTCTTATAAACGGGCAGGTTCTATTAAGAATACTTATTACTTAGTGTTATTTAAAATATAATATGATCGCGAGTGGATGTCGACTATTTGTAAATTCCATTTAACTATCAGCGAATAGAAAATCTTCGGTGTGCGTTCATCATAATCAAAAAGCTTCTATTACTAAATTAAAATAAAATTGTTAAAGAACGTGCTAAAAGTTCCACGTTAGAAATGATGTGTTCGCCTTCAGGCTACTTCAATTTTTGTGGAATTATTGTTATTTATAATTTAACTACATAACTATAAAAAAGATGAAAAATAAATCATTTTAGTACCACTCAGTGTCTTTTACCAGTTCTTCTCAGGTCTGAGGATTCTTCTTTTCGAACTGGTAGTAGACTAGACTAGTAGTAATGACATTCACATAAAATTGTTTGTTAAAATTTAATGCTGAATAAAACATTTACAATTTTTTTAATTTTGTGTTTCTTATTGTCTTCTTTCTTCTTCCAGATGAGTCCAAAGTCATTTAATTTTCTTAAGCCCTTTAGTGCCTAATTTTCGATAAAATCTTTCTACCACGAAGAATGTATCTGTAAAATTTCAAATTTATTTCTTTGTAGCGTTTATACTTTCTGAGTATATCGCCTTTATATACTTACATATTTATAATATAGGTACAGATAGAAACGCGTCTAAAGTAAATAAACCGCCTCGCCTCTTCATATTCAATTTAAGATAATGTAGGTACGTCATAAACATTTGGCAGTCAAATCTGAGCAATCGTGGGGAGTGCATACTTGCGTAGTAAATCATTTGTATGAGAATTCGTTATGGTAATGTCATATTTTTAGAGCTTTGCCCTGTATGGGATTTTTATGGGGTACGGGGTGAGGTGATGTTAAATAAACAACAAAAACCTCTTACGAATCGTTTTATTGAATATAGAAAGATTTTCCAGACTTGATATTCTTTTACTCTACCTACTAATACCATTAATATTAAAATTAGACAGACGGACTAGTAATAGTTTATTTTCGTACATAATAAATACCCAAATTTTATAATATTAAATGGCCAATTCTTGTATATATATAAATTTATTACGTGTATCTCGGAAGCGGCTCTAACGATTTGGATTAAAATTTATATTTAGACTAGCGACTCACCCTCGCTTCGCTTGGGTTCGTCCCTAGGTTGATTCCCCGTACAAACTTTCATCCCCATTTTCACCCCTTTAAGGGATGATTTCCGGAATAAAAAATATCCTATGTCCTTTCCAGGTTCTCAAACTATCTTCTTACCAAATTTCGTCTAAATAGGTTCAGTAGATCCAGAGATTACTCCCTACAACGTCACAAACTCACAATTCACAAACTTTATCTCTTTATAGTATTAGTACAGATATGGTTTTGCCTGTTATGTTTATCTTTTTTGAAACAAAAACGCAATTTTTACATCTTCGCCGATAAACACACGTAGGTTTGACTCAGTTTGTAGCAACGACTACTTAGCCCGAAGTGGTCGTTGGTTTGTAGTGACTCCACTTGTTGTGCCAGCGGCCGCGGGTTCGTGTCCCGCTGGGGGCATTCATTTGTGTGATGAGCACGAATATTTGTACTCCAGTTATGGGTGTTTATATTTATAATATGTAATATGGATGTATTTAAAGTTATATATGTGTACTGTATCAACTATCTGGTATCCATAACACAAACCTCGTAGGTTATCATGGAACTAGATAGTGTTGAGTGTTAAATGTCATATACATATTATTTATCTATAAAACACGATTTAACTTTTTTTAACTGTTTTCACTATTTTTAATTAATTTTTGATATATACTCATGTTTATAACTGAGAAGTGACAGTATGTAGACGTATTTATGTTTGTTATAAAATATAAATATTTGTCTGAACTTGAACTCGATCGCTCGAGTAAAGAATGATAAAAAAAATATTTTAAATGAAATTTAGAATTTATGTAATTATACTTTAAACTCATTTTAGTTATCCTAAAAGTATATGTACTTATTATCAACTCGAGAGTTTTGGTGAAAATACGTAAGTCGTGATCTTATGATAGGGTTTCGTTCGGCGATTGTATGGGTTATTTATGCTGTATAGTATTATATGATCTGTGTTATGGGGCTATATAGATATGACTAGAATATGAATTAAATTCTTAAGGAAATTAAAGATGATGGGATATCCCTTTTACGTTTAATTTATAGGAATTTATTGACATTTTATTGATAATAGGCCGAACGCGTGACTCTGATTCACTTTTGTAGCATATTATTACACACAGTATTCATAAAATGATAAACTAAAATTTACTATATATTGTTTTATTTATATGTTGGTATTTATGTTGTTTGGTTACTGGATTCTTATATATTTTTTTATTTTGTTTGTAAATTTTATTACTTTATTTCGTCATATGAACTAGGCAATGAGCTGTGTTCCCCCCCAACGTGCGTTCACCTTGTCGTGGTGGGGGGGCTCAGTAGTGTACTCACGAAGCCAAGAAACGCACAGGGAGGTGGCCCGCTTCGGTGGGCGGTGGGAGGCGGCCTTCTTCGGAGGGTGGTATACCATGCGGGTTGCTCCTGGTACTTCTCTGATAGCAGAGTGGACCGTGGAGCAACCCCATGGTTGTTGTGGTCTGCTTCGGCAGACCTGCCGTCGGGGCGTCGTAGTTGAATGCGTAAGCGATCCTGCGACGCCCCATTAAGACGGGGGAAGGTTTTGTTGGGTTTTAGTGGGTAGTACTGGCTTCGCCGGTGAGTCCCACACTTCGTGCGTAAATGCATTTCCCAACGTTAAAAAAAAAAAAAAGGCTATGAGCTGTGTTACTAATAACCCAGGCAAGTTTAAAATAAACCCTACAATGACCTTACACTTTAAATAGCCACAATGACCTTACACTTTTAACAATGGTTGCAATGGGATCTTCTTAACACTATTTTTATGCCTAAGCATTATAATTATTATCAAACACTTCAATAAATACAAATCTTAGTTCTATATTATAATTACTGTCCCTAAGTGTGTGCTTGTATTTATAATATTCACTAGCGGCTCACCCTCGCTTCGCTCGGGTTCGTCGCTAGGTACGTTTTAAATAGATATAAAAAGAAAAAATCTTTCTTTCTCACATTTTAATTATATGTTTTAATACTTACCTATTCCGGACTAAGAGAAATCCAAAAATTAAAATATCATAAAAATTGGAACGCGGTCGAACGGGATAAAAAGTATCCTATGTCCTTCTCCTGGCTCTAAACTACCTCCCTGCCAATTTTCAGCTAAATCGGTTCAGCCGTTCTTGAGTTATAAGCGAAGTAACTAACACGACTTTCTTTTATATATATAGACTAGCGGCTCACCCTCGCTTCGCTCGGGTTCGTCGCTAGGTACGTTTTAAATAGATATAAAAAGAAAAAATCTTTCTTTCTCACATTTTAATTATATGTTTTAATACTTACCTATTCCGGACTAAGAGAAATCCAAAAATTAAAATATCATAAAAATTGGAACGCGGTCGAACGGGATAAAAAGTATCCTATGTCCTTCTCCTGGCTCTAAACTACCTCCCTGCCAATTTTCAGCTAAATCGGTTCAGCCGTTCTTGAGTTATAAGCGAAGTAACTAACACGACTTTCTTTTATATATATAGATTTATACATATTATATTGTATTCAACCAGCGCCCACCCTTTAGCACCTTATATTATTAACAATAACTTATATGTTACTCTAGGTCATGGTTTATCTGGGTGCTAAATGTCATTCAATTCATCATACCGTTTCAACGTGAAAGAGAAACGAACATACGATTTCAAAATTGGACAATCGGGATATTGTTAAATGTTTGTACTTATTATGTACATCCAGATATATATCTGATTATTACAAAAGCGAAAGTTTGTATGTGTGTATGTTTGATGTAATAGCACATAGGCTACTATAGGCACTTACATATATTAGTCACCTATAGTATCCGAGCGAAGTAAGGTTAAGTCACTAGTGCATATATACATACATACACTCAATCATACATACACTCAATCATACAAACAATCAAACATTCCAGGCCACCAGTATCTTTAGCGATGCTCTCACCGGCGCGATACCCGCTGCTCTCCCCGCACTACGCACCGCTGCCCGCGCCTCAGCCGCAACCACAGCCGGACTCTTCACACGACCACGGCAGCCATGCGCATTCTGATAGCGATGGTAAGTAAATAAATAAATAATAAATTGAAAAAAAAAACACCAATAAAAAAATTAAAGCCGTCGCGGGAAGTCTGGCAGATGTGAAACATCGAAACTATTTTGTATATAAAATATGCTTGAAAGGATATATTTTTTAAAAGAAGCAAGTATAATCAATAAAAAAAATATTCAGATTTTTTAAAGAAAAAAATCTTTATTTAAAAAAATCCTATCATATATAACATAAAAATTAAAATACGAGCTCAGTACGGTGAGAAATAGAGGAATGATGATGGTGATGATAGCTGAGCTAAGTGGGAAGAGAGTCTGAAAGTTATGCGTCACCACGCCAACCGCCGCGCGGTTTGACCTGCCGCATTGGATGTTTCATATTAAAAATAAAGGACTGAAAGTTCAAGATGAAAATTAATTCTACCGAAGCTATTCGTGATATTTTATTTTTACTTGAACTTTTAGAAGGTTTTGACATAAACTATTAATAGTAATAAGCCCCCTCTATTTATTACTACTACTTTAGAAGAAAAATCTTCTATCATATAGTTGATATTTCGGCCGTACTTGCTAGGTTTAGTCTGAAATCCGGTGTTCACTATTTATTTTTCTTAATTCAAACAGCTTGGAACTACTAAATCTACTAAATCTACTAAAACTACTAAATCGCTGCACATACATGGGGGTTAAATCGATAGATATTGAGGTACTCGACTCCCCAGCGTTGATCCATCAGTCATGTTACATACTGTATATTTGGTGATGGTAAGACTTTTCGTGAAGAACCATAAATGTGGAAAACCCCAAGTTCATTGAATAAGTACGATTGTGAGATTCCTTAATAATCTAAATTATAATATAACTAGCAGAACCCGCGTCTTCGCTCGCGCTAAAACTCCAAAAAGCTCTAAAAAATAGTTTCATACAAACTTTCATCCCATATTTTATCCCCTTATGGGATGAATTTCAAAAAATGCTAAAACACGTATTTATTTCATTTTATTGAAAAGCATTAATACCAAGTTTCAAGTAATTCTGATCATAAATATTTTTTGGGATTGTATATGAAGTGTTTTTGATAAAAAAGCCTGTCACTATCAAGCCCTCCAACTATCTCTGCACAAAACGTTTCGACGTGAAAGAAGGACAAACAAACAAATACATTTTCACATTTATAATATTAGTATGGACGATGGTTTGTAGTGTTAATAGTTATTGGAAAACCATAAATGTAAAAAAAAATCAAGTTCGGTGAATAGGTCGACGATTGTAAGATATCATTAATTTGAATATACTTTTTGGTGTAATATACCCATATTGTCAGATACCCATATTGTCTTTATTATGTACATAATATATTCTGAATTAATAATGTAGTTTTATTTCAAGCGGGGGTTTTACATGCGGGAGTTCCCTTAGTCCCGTTTCAAAGTTAAGATAAAACTTGTTCTCATATTAATAAAATAATATTCATATAGATCACTTTTTTACTATTTTTTTTCTTACACTTTGACGTCACTTATTTGCTTATTACTCAATTGACTAAATATCAATTTGAAAGCAACTATATTCTAATTATTATACACTTAATGGAAAATTAATCGGTTTTTCAAGGGCTATAATAGACTATCTTTTTGAGAATTAGTATGAATGAATTACCCAATTGTATTTTTTTATATGCATTGTTTTTTTTGAAGTTATAATTCTTTTGGCACGTTTGGAAAAAATATGAGAATAAAATTTTTACGATATGCGCGTCCACCGACAGCCAAAAAGCGACATGATGAAGTTAGCTGCATTCCTTTTACAAACAGAGAGTTGTGACATTCGGGATGAAATCTTTAGCTATTTTTGTTGTTACGCCAAAGGAGTATAACTTCTTACGTGCGTACATAAGTACACACAATTTTTTTTCTAGTTAATATATATAATTAGAATGTACCATTTCAGATGACAGTATCGACGTAACGAATGAGGAGGACTCTACTTCCTACTCACCGCCGGCTTACCCTCAGAACTGTATGCCTTATGGGTAAGCAATTATATTTATTATTTACAATTATATTTCATACAATTTATTTGAAGTTAAATATAACTTAGCTAACTCTTAACTTTATCATTACTTTTTGGTTCATCGAATGATATTATTATTAAATTTATTTAAAAGTGCTTAATATTTGTTATGTTTAAATTATTATATCTATATATACATATTATACCTATATAATATGTACATATTAACCGTCACTCGCCCGCTTTGCCATGTGGGCACGTACGCCCATATACATAGGTATATGTTTCTTTTGATATTAATGTATTTTTAGGGTTTTCACTTATAAATTATATTATAAGTGAAAACCCTAAAAAAACTTCATACTAATAATACATTCAGATTAAACAAAAAAAATGTAACGTATTTTGATTTTATTGGCGGCAAAAATATTTAGGAAAGCAAAAAATAAAAAAAAAGGCGAGAAGAGTAGTTATATAGATTTTTTTTTGCCTAAAACCATATATAGACGATCACGTCAATTGGCTAAAGCCCCATATCAATATGTTCAACTTAATTTTATACATATAATATTTTTTTATGTGATGGCGTGAGGAAGGAAAAATCGCTTTCATTCATGTCATCAGAATACGCCACTAATATTAAATAAAGAAAAAAATGTAAATTTTAAAAATTAATATTTAATAATAACACTACTGTTTAAAAAATAATAATGTTTATATTATGTACCTATATTTTCAAACAGTCCGTTAGGCGTAGAGAGCTCAGCCGAGACCGCCGCCCGCTTGCTCTTCATGGCGGTGAAATGGGCTAAAAATCTACCTTCCTTCGCTAGTCTGGCTTTTAGAGATCAGGTATTGTATCAAATCCATTAATATACTTATTTTTATATTAATATTAAAGTTTAAAAACACGCTTTAACTTACTATAATGTATAAAGACATATCTATGTGACAATGGTAATAGTGAGAGCACATAACGCATTAGAAGTCGTGAACATTAGTATACGCGCGGCCAATATTTCAAAAAAGAGAGCGAAAAACATATTTCAACTCATAAAATAATGATAGTCCGTAAAATAAACCAAGTAATATTAAAGGTTACTATAGATTTCTCAGAGATGAGATATTTTCCCACAGTAAAAAGTAACCTATATGTTGACCCGGATAACCAGCTATCATCATACCAAATTTCATCAAAATCCCTCCACTGGTTTCCTCGTGATGCGTTCCCAGACAGACAGACAAAAATTCTAAAAACTATAGATTCGGCGCCTGTATCATTCTCATCTCATCATTATCGATGATTATCTCAATAAAAATTACAAAAAATATTTAATGTACAGATTCGACTCAGAATTTTATTATATGTATAGATGACGATATTATACCAAAAAGAACTGTGTCACTTTATTAATGCACTAACATTTTAATCATGGTCACTTTAAATATATAAATCATTACATACACTTTCGTGTCTTCACCATTGTACGTGACATTGGCACGTTTTGAAGCCATTAACAAGATAATTGAATTGAATTCTTTACTATTATTACAATTAACATACTCAAAACAAACCAGGTAATACTCCTAGAGGAGGCATGGTCAGAGCTGTTTCTACTGAACGCCATACAATGGTGCGCGCCGCTCGACGCCGCCTGCGCTGCTCTCTTCGGCACTGAACAAACCGATCAAGGTATTTATCACAATAACGGCTTAAAGTGATTTAATTCACGTTCCTTGAAGTTATACTTCTTTTGGCTTTTATTTTATAATACCTACTTATAGTGGCTTTAGTGGTATACTAGCGGTACAGGTGAGTACCTGCGTTTCGCTTGGGTTCGTTTTAATTTTTTTTAACCGGAACCCTAATTATTTTTCTAAAATAAAAGTAGCCTATGTTACTCCGTATAACATCAGCTCTTCCAGTGAAAGTCCCGTCAAAATCAGTCCAGCCATTTCAGAGATTATCCGGAACAAACAGACAGATAGACATAAAGACAACAAAATAAAAATTGTGTTTTTCTTATAAGCACCGTACATAATTTCATATGCATTGAGTAAACCGCTGTTATTTTGACATTACAAACAGACACTTCAATTTTATTTATCTGTATAGATAAGTACCTTATACAGTGTTAAATAAATGTCGTGATAAATGACTGAACCATCACAGGATATATAAAAATAAGAAAAAAATCATATATAAACAGAAAACGGCAGTAACTCAACAGCATTGCGCCGCCTGCGCGAGGTGGTGTGCCGCTACCGCAGCGTGCTGGTGGACCCCGCCGAGTTCGCCTGCATGAAGGCCATTGTTCTGTTTAAATCTGGTGAGCTTTACTTATACTATATAGCTTTTAACGGTTAGTATGAAATAGAAATCTTTAAATTTCTCGGTTATTCTGTACTATAATATGCATGTATTATAGATATAAACTTTCCTCTGTAATCACTCTATTTATAAAAAAAACCGCATCAAAATCCGTTGCGTGGCTTAAAGATCTAAACATACATAGGGACAGACGGTCAGACAACGGTAAGCAACTTTGTTTTATACTATACTAATAACTAATAATAATGTCCTGCTGACCGATTCTGGCCACGGCGGCCAATCTCATTGAGACTAGCCAACTGCGCAGGAGATATTATAGTGCAGCGCGTGTACGCGCAGACACAACGTGCACTCTCTATTCCTGTCACTCTCTTACTCCGGTGGGAAGACACGAGACACGACCGGTGAGAGTTAAGGCGATAGCTATACTAGGGATTTACGCTTTCTTCGCTCAGATATGTCCTTAGGTCATAGTTTGTGTACTAAATTCTATCCAAATCCGAATTCTATCCAAGTCGTTTTAGTATGATAAACTTTCGTGTTTATAATAGTAGCACAATAATAGAAATATTTTTCTTTGATTCTGTTAAGTAGGTTACGTACGTACAATAAGTAGGTTTCGATATATTTTTTTAGATAGTCTATATTATTTTGAATGGGTAAATGATAAAAAAAATCTTCTAGAATAATAATTATTGGTATTTATATTATTTATAAGCGAATTATGTTTACATTATATAATATTACATTTCCAATAATACTAAATAATTGCAACACTTTAACAATAAATAACTAAAAAAAAAACAATTAAACAAAAAAGTCACAAAAAAATAAAAAATTAACCCATGCAATTATTCCACAGAAACCCGCGGTCTAAAAGACCCCCTCCAAATAGAGAACCTTCAAGACCAAGCGCAAGTAATGCTGATGACGCATGCGCGAACTGCCCACGGGGCCGCCCCGGCCAGGTTTGGACGGTTATTATTGCTATTACCACTATTACGTGTCGTTAACCCTCAACAGTTAGAAAGAGAGTTCTTCTCTAAAACCATCGGACAGACTCCAATGGAGAAGGTTTTAGCGGATATGTACAAAAATTAATCCGACTTGAAGGATCAGCTGCGTATGTAAAAAGCCTTATTTATTGTATATGGATTAGTTTAGTTTTATGTGAATAGAGCTTTATGTTAGTTCTATAGAAGTAACTCAGTATCAGTTTAAATATATGTAATACATATTAATGTAACGGTCAATGTTACTATTCTCACTTTAAATAAAATATATATGTTGGGACATTAAACACACAGCACCATCTGGTTCCATGGTAAGCTTCGAGGCGTGTGTTATAGATAGTTGATACACTACACGTATATAACTTTAAATACATACATATTATAAATATAAACATCCATGACAGGAGTACAAGCATTAAACATTCGTGCTCATCCCACAAATGAATGTCCCCAGCGGGACTCGAACCCGCGACAATTGGCACAGGAAGTAGGGTACAAAGTACAAAATGAGCCAAACGTGTCGTCAGTCTAATATAACGCATATTTTAGTATTCTTTAAAAATGATAGAATGAAATCAGCATTCGTAAAAACAACCAAATCTTTATGGAAAAGGTTTTAACACACTTGAAAATTAAATACAGTAATGAGAATACAATGTTTGTTTGTGTATCTCTAGAAGAGGTCTCTTACAGCTAACCTATGGTAGTGAGATATAGTGTTATAAAGCAGGCTAAAATCGTTTTTATGTCAATATATAATTATGTATATTAAAAAATTAAAATCGATCCGGCTCGAAGGACTCTTTTTTCACTTTTGAGGGATTACACTCTCTAACTATACATAGTTTCGTGTAATTAGAAATTTAGGTCTAACATACTTTTTATTGATAATGATTTACTTAATTTTGTGTTAAATCTCCCCATTTTGTGAATATATATACATATATAGATTACGTATGTTTTTTAAATATATCTAAGTGTATAAAGAATTATTATAAATCATTCTAAATTCACTTCAACAATCCGATATATAAAGACTTTATTATATATCTTTTATTTTTAAACTTATTAATAATATAATTTAAAATCAATATTTTACATTTTTATCTAATTTCATTAAATATAATATTTTGTAAACAGTAATTATATTAAATAATTAGACTCAAAAGACAATGTTCAGTGCAATGTAAATATTAACTTTTATATTAGATTTTAACTTTAGATTAAAATATTGTAATATACCTTACATGCCTAAATACATATAATACATAGCTATTATAAATACACACATTAGTATATACTAATAAATATATAATTAATGCAATTATAATACGATAAATCTTTAGAAGTGATATTTAATACACAAAAAAACGTGTGTGTGTACTTATGTACGCACGTAAGAAGTACTTCTTTGGTTTAACAGAACAAAAATAACTAAAGATTTCATCCCGTATGTCACAACTCTCTGTTTGTAAAAGGAATGCATCGTACAAATTTTACTCTCATATTTTTTTCCCAACGTGCCAAAAGAAGTATAACTTCAAAAAATATGATTGAAATATTACAGAAAATGTGCAATACAAAAACTAAGACATATGAATATATAAATATACATACATGATGAATATGTATATATAAATATACTATACTTAAAATAATTATTATTTAATAAGTTGTTGCAAGATGAAGTCATACCGGACGAATGGTACAACAGTTCATTGGTGCCCATTTTTAAAAATAAAGGTGATGTGCTGGAGTGCAACAACTATAGAGGAATAAAGCTAATTTCACATAGTATGAAAGCTTGGGAAAAAGTGATTGAGCGAAGACTAAGAGAAGAGAGTGAAATTTCACAAAACCAGTTCGGATTTATGCCCAGTCGGGGAACAACTGATGCCATTTTTGCAATCCGCCAGCTATGCGAAAAGTACAGAAGTGCACACAAGAATTTGCACATGATCTTTATTGATCTGGAGAAGGCATATGACCGGGTACCCCGTGAGGTTTTGTGGTGGGCCCTTAGAGAGAAATGTGTGCCTGAAAAGTACGTGAAGTTGATCCGAGCGATGTACAATCGATGCAGTACACAAGTCCGGTCCACAGCTGGCACCACTACTAGCTTCAATGTGGCTGTAGGTTTACACCAGGGGTCTGCCCTTAGCCCGTACCTCTTCTTGATGGTATTGGACGCCTTAACATCAGACATACAAGAAGAAGCCCCCTGGTGCATGCTGTTCGCCGACGACATTGTGCTAGCGTCCGAGAATAGTCTAGATGTTCAGAACAGATTGGAAGAATGGCGACAAAGACTGGAGAGTGTTGGCTTGAGAGTCAGCAGAAGTAAAACAGAATACCTTTTCTGCGACTTTGGTGGTCTCTCCAGTCTTGTGCCCATAACCCTTTCGGGAACACCCTTACCAATATGCACTGACTTTCGGTATCTTGGATCTCTTGTACAAGGTGATGGTAATATTGACCGAGACATTACGCGTCGGATCAACTCTGGGTGGATGAAATGGCGACAGGTCACAGCGATAACTTGCGACAAGCGGATGCCCCTTAAGTTGAAGGGTAAGATTTATAAATCCGTAATAAGACCTGTCGTTATGTATGGATCGCAATGCTGGGCTACAAAGAAGACTGACGAAAGAAGATTGCATGCTGCTGAGATGAGAATGTTAAGGTGGATGTGTGGAGTGACGAGGATGGATAAAATTAGGAATGAGTACATAAGAGGAAGCTTAAAAGTAGCACCAGTGACAGAGAAGTTGAAAGGGAATCGTCTTAGTTGGTATGGGCATGTGAAGCGGAGGGATGAAACGCATGTGACGAGAAGAGTGATGGAAATGAATGTAGATGGATGGAAAGGTAGAGGAAGACCGAAGAAAAGATGGATAGATTGTGTGAGACAAGACATGAAAGAGAAAGGGGTGAATGATGAGATGACGAGTAATAGGGGAGAATGGAAGAGGAAGACTTACTGCGCCGACCCCAAATGACTTGGGAAATGGGCAGGAAGAAGAAGAAGACCTACTAAAATATTGATAAATGAAAGTTTCGGGCTCTAGTAGTTTGCCTTTTTATATTTGAATGAAATTACTTGTAAATGTAATATTTTGTATAGATATAGTTGTAGTTATTTTAAAAAGGCCTATTGTATTATATTATTTATTTATATATTTTTTATTTTGTTGGAAATCACAGTAATCAGAATATTAAAATGTAATTAATATAATTATTTATTAATTGGTTTGAAAATGGATGAAAAATACACAATTAAATTATAGTTAAAAACTAACATTATTTTTTAAGAATAATCATTGCCGACGTCAGTGCAAAACCGGCTTAACTCTAAATTATTTAATATGAACCATCGATCAAAAAAGTACTAGATACACAATCCCATGCGAAAGTTCTCTTAAAACTGTCACCAATTGTGTTTAGGTATTTAGTAGAAAAAATTATACATCAATGTAAATTGAACCTTAAATGCAACGCTTAAAGTTGTTTTCACAAAACAAACATTTAATTAAAAGCGCGTTTAAATGTTCAAATGAGCGCTCATTCGGTGTGGACATTTTTGTCGCTGATTTTGTACCTAGTAATTTTTTTAACTATGATATGTTATTATGAACATGTTAAATCTTAAAAAAAGGTAAAACACAAATAATCCCAATACTTTAACGTTTTCATTTTTATGATTAATTAATAATACAATAATGAGCAAAACGTGAGATATGCCATTTTTGGACTGAAATTGCAATACACAAAATTACTTTGAAACAACCTTGAAAAGAGTTTAGTTGTAAATAAAGGAAAAACTTCATACTTCTACTATAATAATAATAAGTTGTAGATAAAGCTTTTTCCTTATTATGAGAACATTTATGTATATTTTATTCCTTTATTTTATTTTATGATACAATATAATTTATTTTTTAATATGTTGGAGAAATTGTATACTAAATACGTTTTTAATTTGACACATTTGACAAGAATATACCTACTGACCATATTTACTATATTTTATGTTTTTGGTTTTTAACCGACCTTAAACAGACAAAGCTTATGTTTATTAAATAGGTATTTTTGTTATTCTTTTAAATAAATTAAAAAAAAATACCTTTTTAATAATAAATTAAAAAAGACCTCTCCCGTAACCATGATTGTTGTAAAGCATTTGACACGTCGCGGGGACCAAAAATAAAAAAAGCCGCGAAAAAATTCTAAAAGTTTTATTTAAAATGTCAAATATTCGAATTCTAATAAAGAAAGTACATATTAAAAAGAGTTAAAATGCAAGGTTTTTATTTTAAATTACAAATAATAAATTGTAATAATAATATAATTTTAAATTTTTCTAAAAGTTTATATATTTCTTCTTCTAAAAGTTTATATACAAAAAAGTGTGTCCAACAATATTCTAGAGACATTATTTCAATATGTTTTACACTCAAAACATATCTATAATAATTTTATAAACAGGAAAGATTTGTTTGTTTATTTGTACCGAATAAGGTCTGACACTACTGGTCCGATTTAGATGGCATATGTTAAAAAGATAGTTTGAGACCCAGGAAAGGACATAGGATAATTTTTATCCCGGAAATCATCCCTTATATTATAGGTATGTACGGAAACTACAATATAATGACACCTACCTATTGCCATTTTTATAATTTGATTTAAGACGAATCTTGTTTGTTATTACAAATATTTTGTCAGTAAAAATTTATGTACCTAATAATAATAATTTTAATTAATTTATTTATTTTAATATAATATATTACCTAAGTCAGGAAGTGAGAATTATTTTATTTACTCATAATATAAGCAAAGCATGTATATAGCTATGTATATTTCAAACACTAGCTCTAAATAGATGTACCGATTTAGATAAACTAAATGATTGTCGTATTTTTAAGCTTATGCGAGAACTGCTAAATGTAAGCGAATTAGCGGAATGTAATAAATGTTACTATATAAAGTGATTTTTATATATTTTTTAATAAATAACGATATTTACCCCTTCCCTCTACTACGAGTAGTAGGTATAAAGTGACATATACACTGATAATATAATCT